AAATCTTTAAATGCCAACTTAATAATTTTTATGTTTAAAAGATCAACTTAGGATTAATATACATAGAATACCTCCACCACACCAGCACAGCTAATGGACAAGTGAACGTTTCCACTCCACCTTATCAGAAATAATAAGATGTTTAAAATCAGAGAATATAGAAAGATCCTTTCCAGAACTTCTAGATAGAGCAGTTTACGAATACATTCAACTACAGGACAAAAAACCTGTCGAATCATTTTTTGTTGACGAAGAATATATACCAACCCTGAGCAATTATGAAAAAGCAAGACAAAATATATACAGAGACTGAGACAGAAACAGGAACAGATTGAACTCTTCACAATTAAAAGAGAAAACCATTTAATAACTATAACATTGGACAAACAATTTATATCAAAATTAATAAAAGACACGGCAATAAACTGACTTCAAAATATAAAAAAGAAATAGTAAAAGAAAATCATAATTCCACAGTTACAACACAATCCGGCAAAATAGTCCACAAAAGCCTTATAAAAGGATAAAGAATAATAATAATAATACACAAAAAAAAAAATACTATTTTGAAAAATAAAACCATTATCCTCTCCTTTTTAGATTTTTTGCTGCGGTAAATACAGCAAATGTGCAAATTCTAGATTACAGGTCTTCCCAATTGATAACAATAGACAACGGATCAGCAAAATTGCAAACAGGGAATTTTAAAATTATTCATATTATAGAGACAGAACAGTACGAAAATATAATTAGTACTCTTGAAACAATAGTAATGGAAAAATTACTGGCACACCCTCTTCATCCCATTCTATCGTCCCTGCTAAACCAATCCAAAACCTACTTAAATTCAATTAAAATTAATAAACAATTACAAAAGCGATCACTAGATTTTATAGGTACCGCGTGGAACATGGATAGTCAGGAAAATCCTGACCATAGCGACTATAAGGTTTAACTAACAAAATGAATAATGTTTTAGAAAATAATAACCAACAAGTTATTATAAATAAATTAATGAACAACATAATAAATGAATTAATTAGTATCACAAATAAATTAACAAAAACAATTGAAGAAGACAAAAATATGGAATATGACTTAGTTCTAACCATCAAATTCAAATTAAAAATTATAAAGGAAGAATTAATCAATACGGCTTACGGAATTGAAGAATGTAGGTCTACAGAAATACGACCAATAAAGAAAAACGAAGTAATAAATAAAATAATGCTTAAACTATTATTATTATGTCCAAACAAAGTTTATGGCATATATACCAATTGTAAATCATGTAACAGCATATCAATTTGCCCTAAAAACGCAGTAAAAGATATATCAGATAATGCATGTATCACACATTTATTAAATAGAAAAAACGGAAATTGTACGAAATTAATAATGAACATACAAAATCGGTTGAAGAAAATTTCGAGCGACTTAATATTTAAATCAATTTAATGATGTAATAAAAATTAAAAATTGAAAGTTTAATGGTAAATCGCACATATTTAATAAAATATCATAATGCTAGCTTAGAAATAGATGAATATTGTACAACTCCAATATGGTAAAGAAAAAAGCCATTACCACAATATTACAGCCACTATCTAAATATAATAATTTCAGAAAATATTGTCATTAGAATCAATAAAAAATTTCAAACTAACGAAACTATACATTTGAATCTATTAAAAAAACAAAATATTGTAATTTTCTCAATAAATATATTATCAATATTTGGAATATTAATTTTAATAATATTAATGTTCAAAAAAATGAAAATTAAAAATAATTCTAATATAACTGAAACCAATACAAATGAAAATGGTATTAAAAATTTGTCAAGATTTTTTGTAAGGGCGTCGAACGAGGACGTTCGAATTTAAGAGCGGAGGAGTTATCACCAAATAAGCTATCCCTCCCTAATAATACCAAACTCTCAAATTAAACGTAAAGTGCAATACAACTCTTCACCTGAAGGCCATATTGCACGCGCAATTGAAAAGTGCTGACCAAACACTTGGTTTCCTGTGGAACGAATGTCAACCGTTTCCCGTAAACAACAGCGGCAGCGCTGCTTCAGAAGTTAAGCTTAATATTAAGTAAAATAGAATTAAGATTTAGTGTTAATTAAGATACCACTCAATAAAGGAGCTATGCTTCACTAAAAAATATATTTTTATATTTTTTTACTGGTTTTAACCAAAGAAAACATAACTTATATGCAATGCATAGTATTGCTAGCTCTATAGAACCAAAGGCTGTAAAGAAAATTTATTCAGGTCCGCAAGTTTTAGAAAGCGGTTTCGTTTAAATGTTTCAGTATTAATTTTCTAGTTCTATACAGAAATTCAGCTTTCTCTGTCAGACATTTAATTGTAGAACTTCAGGAAGTCCTTACATCTGAGTTATGCATTCAAAATGTGCTAATTGTTGGAGATTTCAACATTTGTTTAATGTCTACAGGGAATTCAATAGGAAATCTGCTCCAAGAAAAAAACTTTAGTTCCCTGCTTGGTGTAGAATATTCAACTACACCTGCCGGTACACAAATTGATTGGGCATTTTCAAACATGGATCCTTCCCATGATTACTTTTGAAACAGTACACAGCTATCATTACAGTATTTGTGTCTCTATTTCCAACTTAAGTTTTCAGACTTATTGCAATAGTTCTTCATTTTTTTTTTCAAATATATATTAAGAAATGCTATAGGAATTTTGACAGTAGTTTTTAAGACAATTTTAAGAAAAATATGTAAATAATCTAATTAAGAAAATTTAAATTATATGTATAATTTGTTATTATATCAGACACTATTGTATAAATATATGATAGAAATTAAATAGCAGGTATAAGGAGAAAAGATATATATATATTTGTGTCTCTATTTCCAACTTAAGTTTTCAGACTTATTGCAATAGTTCTTCATTTTTTTTTCAAATATATATAAGAAATGCTATAGGAATTTTGACAGTAGTTTTTAAGACAATTTTAAGAAAAAAATGTAAATTAATCTAATTAAGAAAATTTAAATATATGTTATAATTTGTTATTATATCAGAAACTATTGTTATAAATATATGATAGAAATTAAATAGTAGGTATAAGGAGAAAGATATATAATTTGGATATATGTATAAGAATCTATATAAAAATTTATGTTTAATAATGTAAATATTATATACAAATTAATATAATAATATAATTTTTATACTCTCGCAACCTGTTGCTACAGAGTATAATAGTTTTGTTCACCTAACGGTTGTTTGTATCCCCTAAAATAA